GGAGAGGAGAGGAGAGGAGAGGAGAGGAGAGGAGAGGAGAGGAAGAAAGAGATGTGGAGAGCAGATGTAAGAGTGCAGACGAAGCATAAGTTCAGTCGACACTTACTCATCCTGCCCCTCCAGATGTTCCAGGACATCCGCACTGTCTACGAGTCCCTCTCCTCCATGCCCTTGTCCAGCGTCACCGACTGCTACGACAGCAACGGAGACCTCAACGCAGGCGTCGCCTCCTCCACATGGCCGGTCGGCGTGATCAAGAACTGCGGCAGCGCCGTCGCCAACACGACCTGGTAAGAGAGGGAAGAGGTCAGCACAAGATGTGAGAGGGAGGGAGAGCGAAGGAGAGCGTCGGAGGGGGGGAGAGCGGGGGTTGCGGGGACGGGGGTGGGCGAGGAGGGGAGGGAGGGGCGGGAGGAAAAGCCGTGACACAGGAGGACGCAGGTCCAAGACGCTGTCTGACGGATCTCCCGTGAACGACATGAAGTCAGCCGCCTCCTACTCGGGCAGCACCAACCCCGACGGCATCTTCAAGTGAGCGACAAGAGGAGGGATGGCGAAGTGAAGGAGGAGAGGGGGAGGAGAGAGGAGGGAAAGAAGGAGGGAGGACGAGGAGAGAGGGAGGGAAGAAATGAGAGGGAGGAAGGAGGGAGAAGAGGACGAGGAGGAGGGAGGGAGGAAATGAGAGGGAGGAAGGAGGGAGAAGAGGACGAGGAGAGAGGGGAGGGAGCTGACGAGGGCGAGCAGGTACGGCGTCGACATGGACTTCTACGGATGCGTGTACCACGATCCCAACTGGAAGACGTCGGGAGTCTCCGACGAGGTAGAGGGGGAGGGGAAGCAAGTCTAGACGCCGAGAGGAGGAGGAGAAGGACGCGGAGAGGAGGCAAGGGAGGAGAAGGCGATGGGGGAGGGAGGGAGGCAAGCGGCAGGGAGGCAAGGATCGTATGCAGGGGGTTGCAGTAGCGCGGGAGGAAGAGAAGAGGAGGAGGAGAGGAGGGAAAAGAACGAGGACAGGAGGAGACGGAGAGGCTGACGGGAAGGGATGCAGGTGCTTCCAGCGAGCGATGCTCGTTGCACGACGGTTCCTACTCCTTGAAGAGGAAAGGCTGGTCAGGTTGCCCTCAGATTTTCACGCTAGGAGTTGAACAAAGTGAAGCGAATTTTGATTCTGAGCAGAGACAAAAGAGCAACAAACTTTAATTCTAATCACAAATAATTGGGTATACATGTTAAAGTGACATAACCTTCGATCTCATGAAACCACGTCACAAGTCTATAACATCTCATCAAATCTCAACAAACGTTGTCGACGCTTCCTGTAGCCCTCAATCTGGCTGAGGGAGACAGAAGCTTTCTCCAGAGCACATCGGTGCGTCGCTGAACTTGTTCGAGGATCGGGCACTGAGCGGAGACTGCGATGGTTGCACCGCTCAATTCGCGTTCACGAAGGGACGATAGACCTGCCAAGAAGAGTAAGAGGAGGAGACGAGCAAGAAAAGAGGGATAGAAGGAGGAGGAAGGGGAAGAGGAGGAGGAGGAGGAAGGGGAGGGGGAAAGGGGAGGAGGGGGAGGGGGAGGAGGAGGAGGAGGAGGAGCGAAGCAAGAAGGGTAAGAGGGGGGCGAGGAGAACAAAAAGGGTGAGGGGGGAAAGGAGGTAAACATGAAAGTCAGGGGGAGGAGGAATAGGAGAGAAGCAAAAGGATTCAGAGGAAAAGGAGAGGAGCAAGAAGAGTAGAAGAAGGAGAGTAGGAGGAAGGAGAGCGACAAGAAGTTTTGGACCTCCTGCACCCTGGCGGTCAAGTCCCTTAGGCTTTCGTTGCCCTGGTAGGATGTAAGGGGAGGAGCAAGTGATATTGTGTGGGGGGGAGTAGTAGCTGTGGCGAAAGCAGCGGAGCAGGAGGAGAAGGAGGAGTGGGAGATGAGGACGACGAGGAGAGGACAAGAGGAGGAGACAGAGAGTGTTATCAGAAACAATCTCACCATCCTTGTCTTGCGGACATAGCACATCCTTCCTGTGTGCTGTTGACAACCATGTCACCAATCATCCTTGCAGTCAACTCTTCTTCTGCTTTTCTTTTTCTTCTTACCGTCATTTCACACTTGTGATTCGTCATGAAGCCTCCAATGGTGACGTCAGGCTGCAAAGAAACGATAAGATACTGAGTGGAGCAGGAGCAGGAGCAGGAGCAGGAGCAGGAGCAGGAGCAACACGATTAGGGTCAAGCTGGGATTTAGATGCCAACAACGCACATGGTTCATCCCAAGAGAAGGAAGGTTGGGTATCTCAAGGACCTGTTGTCTGATTAGATCATGAAGAGAAGAGAAGAGAGGAGAACAGAAACGAGCAGGAGAGAGGCGGAGAGAATGAAAGTAAGATGGAGGAGAGAAAGAGAGGAGAAGCACGGCAGGAGAGAAGTAAATTGCGGCATTTCACTCACACTCATGTTTGCATCGTAGTCCAGCACATTCAAGCAATGTGTAAACCCTACGATACTGACAGTCTAGTGTCAGACAACCAACAGGAAAGAAGATTCTGAGTGAGGCAGGGGGGAGGGAACCTGCAGGCAGCGAGGAAGCAGAGAAGGGAGAAGAGAAAAGGAAAAGAAGGGGGGGCACGAGAAAAGAGGAGGAGGACGGCATACGAGGAGGAGGAGGAGGAGGAGGAGGAGGAGGAGGAGGAGGAGGAGGAGGAGGAGGTGGTGGTGGTGGTGGTGGTGGTGGTGGTGGAGGAGGAGGAGGAGGAGGAGGAATCTTCGTTTTCACCGATGCTTTTCGTCCAGGTCAATATGGAGAGTGCACTCAACTAGAAGTGATTGCTGTTGGTATATGTTTTCGTTGCATCGCCTTGCAATCCTCCACACCCTGCACATTCATATCAATATTGAGATCGAAAAGAAGGGGAAAAGGAGCAAGATCAGGAGGGAAGGAGGGAGAGAGTTCGTTCGAAGACCTTTTGATTTCAGTTTCTCCTTTGACCAAGGCTATGAGATGGTCAAGAGCGTAGACGAGAGTGTCGAACTGAGAAAGAAGTATCAAAATCCATGCTCTTCACCTTTCTGCCTCCCTGCTCTACCAACCTCCCTCTCACCCTCTCACCCTCTCACCCTCCCACCCTCCGTCCCTCCGTCTCCGTCCCTCGCTCCCTCCCTTCTCATCTGGAAGAAAGACCTCCCTCCCTCCCTCTCCCTCCCTCGCTCCCTCCCTTCTCATCTGGAAGAAAGAGCCTCAGACCTCAGATGAAGGAAAGGGAAGATTGTTGGCTGCGAGCCGAGCCGAGAATTCCTCCGGATGAAAGCCCATGAGCTCCGCATAACCTGCGAGGGAGGTTGAACAACGGAGAAGGAGATGATGATGATGATAATGATGATGATGATGATGATGATGATGATGATGATGATGATGATCAAGTTGATAGAAAAGAAGATGATGATGGTGATGATGACGGAGATGTTGATAGAAAAATGATGGTGAAGTTCAGCAAGGAACAACGACAAGATTGGTCAACAAATGGTTGAGTGTTGGGTTTCACCTGATCCGAAGATCACTTGTTTGCACCCGTTTGTGATGGGATCGATTATCATGGAGATCCAACGATCGTGCCCAAACCTGTCAAGTTCTCAATCACATCAGTTACAAGTTTGTCCTCAAGTGGACGCTACAAGAGGGATGGGGAAAGTTCTCATTGCATGCAAAAGACAAAAGATCTCGTTATTTTCCCAGACCTTCTTGTCAACTTCTCAGTGAGCTCCTCATTGCTTTCGATTGTCTGCCCTGTATAGATGTCTGGGAAACAACAGCGACAACAGCGACAACATTACTGCAAACCGATGAAATGATTGGACAATCACCGTCTGCAAAGGTCTGCCACGTGTAATGAGCAGGTAGAGCAGGAGCTGACTTCTTTGTTCCTTCAGTTTCCCAGGTGCCTCCGTAAGTGATCTTGGACTGAACATTTTCACGTATTCCCTTGTACAAAATCTGCGTTTGAACGTCATCATTGCCATCGCCGTCGTCGTCTTCGATCGCGTTATCATCGCCATACATAATCAGATTTTCAAAGTAATCTTATTACCACCACCACCACCACCACCACCATTATCATCATCATCATCATCATCTCCATGATTCTCATCCCTGTCAACCTCCCCGCAAATCATCTCATCTCATCTCATCTCATCTCACCTCACCTCACCTCACCTCACCTCACCTCACCTCACCTCACCTCACCTCATCTCACCTCATCTCATCTCATCTCATCTCATCTCATCTCATCTCACCTCGTTCAACTCAGGAGGAATGCATCTGAACAACGACATCGAAGTGCTCCCATCCAGGCCCAGCTCGACCAGCCTCCTCATCAGCGACCAAAGGTTCAACTTACTCTCCATCGCGGCTGCCATCACTCTTTCCATCATAGCATCTCGGCCCAACACCGTGTTCGTCCTCCTAGTGATCGAGACCAGAAGGTCCTGACCTGTTGCATTGCAAGCTTCCCACCTATTCATCACGATGCACGTCGAACACGGCCTCACCGAGCTGCATTTTTTCTTCTTCATCTTGCAGAAGTCGCAGGCCGACTCGACATACTTTGTGCGTGTCCTCCTCCTCTTCGCCTGCCCATCCTCCAAAGATTCTGTATCAGGCATGAAATTGTGCACTTGCTCCAACCGCGACCCTGAGTTATTCACTGGCATACTCGCCATGAAGCCGTAGGGCGAAGCTAAACTCTGAGCGGCCGAGCTGGGCAACGTGGGACCAGACGGAGTTTGGGAGGGAAAGAAAGGAGGGCCAGCAGGAGGGGAATAATTAGTCTGATTCAGATGGTCCATTGAGAGAGATTGCTCGATCGCACCGCACCCACCAAGCATGTACGGATTGAGCAGCGATGGGCATGAACTCATCGCGCTCACAGCCCAGTTGAGGTCAGCCTGATGACCAATCTCCTGCGGACCCTCACCAATTCCCGAGGTGTCTCTCGGTCCACAGGAACCACGAGGATCAGGCTGGTCATGGTCGAGGGTAAACACTGGTCCACAGTGAACTAAGGTCAGAGCATGTGCTGTTCCAGTGAGTTCAAAGTCGTTATCTTCCTCTTCCAGGGAGAAGGTCGGTGGCTTGTAGTACTCCTCGTTGGATACCAGATCAAAGTCACACATCAGATCTCCCATGCTTGAACAAGTGAGCAAGATCTGTCATAAACAAACATCTTCAGTTTACAGCCCACTTGGGACTTCTTGGCTTTGCATTATCCCACTGGCCCTTTCTGTACACGTTTATTCGGCTTTCTCTGTTCACATTTACTTTGCGACATTGCACGCCATGATGCGCCTGACTGTTTCCCCTCATTCCCATCCCTCCCTCCATCCCCCGCCCCGTCCCTACCTCCAACTGCTGCAACCAAGCCCCTCACCCTGCCGCTACCCTATCCCATCCCTATGCATCTTCCTATCTCTATAACCATCTCCATCTCCATCTCCATCTCCATCTCTGCATCCTCGCACCGCTCTCCCCCTTCCTTCATCGTTCTCACTCCCCTCCTCTCCTCCTCTGGTCTCCCACCCCCCCTCCTCTTTACTGCATTTGGTCATTTGTACTACACCTGCTGCAGCTGTTATCCGTTACGTGCCGTTACAGAACCGAAGTGACATGGAAGCCGTTGCAGTGTAACGGAAGGTGCTTGGAGGATCTCTCGGGGTGGGAGATCTTGAGGATGCTGTAAAAGTCTCCCACAAGGCGCTGAAAAGAGGCAGTTTCGAACCCAGATCCCTCAAAGATCTATCTCTCATTCACAACAAATTGAACATGAGTGTTTTCAGAAAAGTTTTTTTCTCGCCGTGGCCCCATTGTCATCCCTGGTACAAAGATAGAAGCGATGCGGCCCCTGCTGACGTCGAGGACGATTCTCGACAAGGGTGCTAAAGGCACCTACATATCATTATAAAATGAATATCACCTGAATGAATACAGTCATATGTAGGGGTCCTTCAAGACAAGGCAGGGAGGATGTACCCTTCAATGGAAATCTGACCTGCCGTAACTATGGAGAGTTTCTGTCACATGGTTTGAGAGTCAATCAGACTGAGGGGCACAGCCCTACGGAAGAGGGTGGGGTGGGATGAAGCAGGGGTAGGGTGGGGGTATCTTAAAAGTGTGTGGCTCAGCATGTCCAATAACCAGTATAACATAGGAGCAGCAGTATTGGTTATAGGAACAATCGATAAAAAATGGACCTTTGACCCCACAGGTTCACTTCCCTCTGCTCTACACGCAAACCACATACGGGGGTGGAGGGGGAGGAAAGGGTTCAGTGGGTACGTAGGCACGATCTTTGGAGATTTCTTGAGATTCTGAAATTCTCCCGATGAAATACCAAATGGGAGATTTTCAGCGAAACAATACTGTCAAATATAACTTCATGTCTCCATGTATATTTCAAATATACTCGAGATAAATCGAAATAAATGGGATAAATGGAAATGATTCGGCAGGGTATCGAATGTTTTCAGGAGCCTGGTGAATCCAAAGCTTTAAATACTAAAACTACCTTGTAAAAACATTTAAATGTGTTTTAGCCTGGGTATGAAACGTGACCGCCCCCTCCACGAGTTTGGAGGGCGACGGGGGAAATTCTTCTTGGGCTGCGACGATCCGCGAAACTTATGAAATATCTCTCCTAAATTTGTAATTATCATACAAAGAAGTTTGAATCTCTCAAAGCGAAATCTCCTTCCGACTTCCCAGGGACATCAGAAGGCCTTGCAGGGTAGAGTGTAACAACGTTGACAGTCAAGTTGTAGCTCGTTCCTGATCGTTCTCCTCCCTCCCTTCCCTCCTCTCCCTCCCCTCTCTCATCTTCCTTCCCATCCACCCTCTTCCCTCCCCTCCACACTCTTTCTCCCTTCTATCCTCCTGTTCGCTCCTCCTTTTGTCTCGTCCTCCTCCTACCGTCTCCTTCGTCCTTCTCCAGGAGTAGTGAACTCCTCTGCTTCTCTACAAGCTGCGAGTTCGAACTCGTCGGCATGCCTCTGTGGAAAAGATTCACAACAGAGCTGGTGCCTGAATGGCAAGTGCAATGCATTGAGTACAAGGTAGCTACCCCCGATTCATGCTGTCGACTTGCTCACATTTGTGTATCAGAGACTGAAAAGGCTAGCGGAAAGTCTTGTCGGGAGAGAGGATTCTATCGGTAGCTCGACTCTGCTTCCTTTTGCTCTGATCTCACTGTCTTTGCAGAGAGGCAGGAGAACGACATCTCCGCCTTCCGTGACGCCTTCGCTGTCGAGCTCGAGAAAGTTTCTTTCCTCTACGTCAAACACGAGCGCAAGCTCTGCCGCTTCTTTTGCTCCCTAGAAGCCAAGTGCGAAGCTGTTCTTCAGAAGCTGCAGGTAGATCTCGTTGCTCCTGCTTGTGCTCTTGCCCTCCTTATGTCTATCCATCAGGATGACCGTGAACAGAACTGCTCTGACGACTTCATGAGAGCACGAAGAGTTTTGGAGGATCCGGCATACAAGCAGATTCTCGTGGCGCTCTCTGCATTTCTGATGCATATCGATGCTCTCCGAAGCTTTGCTCTGTTGAACACGCTGGCTGTTGTGAAGATTGCTCAACAACATTGCAGCAAGCATGCGGGGGACGATGTGCTCAAGCGCTTGCACGAAGAACCTTTCTTCCATTGCTACCGGCTCTCCTCTCTTGTGGAAGAAGTCAGCTGTCTCCAGCGCAGACTTCTTGGAGAATTCTTCGGAAACGTTGACCTGCACACAGACGAAAGGCATAGAAATTTCCCGCTCGACGTGCAGGAGAGCGAGGAGGTGGAGCCCTCAGATCTGTCTGTCTATTGCACATGGAAGAATCAGAGGGGACATCTGCCTGTCTGGATCTTCAAGTCTCTTGCTTCTTCTTCCCTTGGTGACAGGGACATTCGTAAGATCAGAATCGTCTCTCTCCTCTCCGTCTTCTCAATGCAGGTCAAGGCGTCATTGCGAGCTCATGGGCTAGAGAAGTATGCCAGCATGATCGTACCAAGGGTGCCTCCTATGGGAGAAGCGGGATCTTCCAGCGCATGCAGCAGGCAGGGAGAGCAGGGAACGCCTCAGGGACCAGCACCCGTGAGGATGGAGGTGCATGCAACAAACGGAAACAGTGGTGGGGCAATCGCCCCAGCCATGCGCCTCCCTCCTCGACGGAAACCGGCTGCCACGAGGGAGGAGGTTGAACAGAGTGTAAATACTAACAATGACTTGCGACTGCAACGATCATGCAACAACCTGCTGGTCCTCGAGCTCAAAGGATGGAAGTGGATTGATAGCCTCATTGCTCCTCACAACGAATCGGCTGAAGCCAGATCCAAGGCCTCCACCCCCACATCGGAATCGGAAAACTCCGATGGTGAAAGAGAGGCGTGCTGGGACAACGGCGTGAGACAAGATTTGAGCAGCCTGGACAAGTTTGCGTGCAAACCACAGTCGTACAGGAGGGGTTCAGAAGGGATGGAGTGCACCGGGGCACTAAATCAGGTGAAGCTGCGACTTGACATAACAGCGTAGAACTGTTCTTTTAAGAAGAGCGAACTGTGAATATAGACCATCAACGCTCTGATTGTGTTTTATTTGCTGTGACGTGAAGTTTCGACAAACTCCCAATCTACAAAGTCGAGATCGCGTGAAACGAAAGTTATTTACATGTCTGCATCATCCCTTGATGCCCTCGATGCTGCAGCCCTTGGCCCTTGGCTCCTTACTTCATGAATCTATTGTACAGATACTTGGAAATGCGCTGGTTCTGCGACAGAAGATTCCTGCAGTTCGCAAGCGCATCATCCTCGCGGGTCATCAAACCCGACACATCATCGTCGGCAGTATGGTGGAAAGGACCGAAATGCCCACTGCCCGAGTGATGCCAGTGCTCATCACTTTGATCGCAGTAAATCATATGCCTCTCCCGCCACCGCCTGCAGAACCCCTCTATGTACTTCTCCCCCTTGCTCACGTTGGAGAGCAACTTGGAAACGGCCCATGTCTCAAGCTTTCCACCAATGTAGCCTGATGACTTGCTCTCTGATTCTGCTCCCGCGCCACCCACCACCTCAAACCTCCATTCTGACTTCCCTTCGCTAGGCGAGGTCTGCGAAGCCTCGTGCTCCTTGGTCTTCGGGAAGGCATTCACCAAGATCGCAATCTCATACTTGGTGGTGTCGTCAGGACTTGATGAGTCTGGTGTGTACCTCGATTTGCTGCAAGCTTGCAAGACAGACCTGCGCATACACGGTCAAGCACGGGGCGGCAGGAGGGGAATTCGAAGGACCTGCAGTTGAGATTTGATGTTTCGACCGTCATGATTTGCTTCTCGGCATCGACCACAACAGTCTCGAGCATGTAAACAGAGCGAACTGAACGCGTATTAGAGTACATTCACAGCGGCAGAGATCGCATCACCGGGAACGAAGGGTTGAAAGATCGCAGGAAGGCTCCCGCGCATAGTGAGCAGCCGCTTGCTGTGCAGCCTCCCCGCATCATCAAGGTATCGCTCCAGCACTGCCAGCAAGCTTCAGGTAAAGTACATGAGCTTCCCAGCGTTTAAACACACCTTCAACCTCCTTCACATACTTGTGTGCATCGTACTTGGACCACAGCGAGCTTGTCACTGCAGCAAAGGGATGCCTGTACTTGATCGTTTGGGATTCGTTCTTGACCATCGCGACGATTGATTTCACTGAACAACAATTCTCTGTTGTATGTTGCTTTGCTGCTATTGTCGAGCTTTCTTTGTCAACCGAATAACCTTGACAGAAATACCCATTCCTGGTGAGCGAAGGACTGTCAGCGCAATGCAGAATCCGGCACATGAAAGTGGGGACGAAGTCTATTCAAGCCTCGCATTCGGTCACTCAATCACACGATCCACCCCTAACTCCTCCTACTTCCTCCATTTCCAAGTTCAGTAAAGATCCTCCGCAGGATCCTACTCCCAGAGCACCCGAGCAACAAGGTTGGCCAGTTCTTTCTAAGTCTATGACCTCTCGTCTGCATTGAAAGTTCTAGACTTTCCTCATAATTTCTTTCGCATGGCTCCGTAGTTGTTCCATATCCCTACCTCCCTCCGTCCTCTTTCCTGTCCTCCCTCCTGCTGCAACCTAACTCGTTTCTGCCATGCGCCTGGACTAAAAAGAATGCCAACAAATTGTTTTAAGTAATCAGTACGAACAAAACCAATATTGGTACAGAATAATACTTATATGTCGTTGATGGTACAGATATACATCTGATTTTCAAAAGTGGGGGTTGGGGGGTCGCAACGTTTCGATATACGTTGGTAGGTTGCTCTATTCAACCACCCCTCTAATGTCCTGGACGTGAAGCCCTTTGAACGGGTAGGGGTGGGGCTACCTGATGAGGTTGACAGGGGTGAGGTCAAGGTGCTGACAACTTATGTAAAGGGTGGGGTAGTCCGCTTTTAAAACAAATCTCAAAACAGTTTTATAGTTATTGGATGGGTACCAAAAATACCGATAGGGCGCCACAAAGAAGGGGTGGATACAGATGAAGTACTGACCTCTTCCTCTTTTAAAACATAAATATATGTAAACTACCCTTCTTGTACTGGAGAAGTTTCCTCATGGTACCAAAATACCTCCTTACATTGTTTTAATTTGTTGCGATACACATTTATAAAAATCAACAAAACACAATCTCTCAGCTGGTCGTAAGAAACGGTTTTGGAAGCGCAACGTAACGGTAAAGAAATATTGTAACTGTCTTCATAACGGATAAACTAAAACCGGTGCCATGGGCGAGATTGTTTTCTGGTTTTCTGTCACGTCGCATAAAGGACGGGGAGGAGGAGGAAGGCAGGGAAGGAGGAGAGGGGGATAGAGGAATGAAAGATTGTTCTCTCGGACAGGAGAGCAAGATCAGAGCTACAGGTGGGACGGGAGATAGTTTGGCAAGTCCACGACAAGGATATTCGTTTAATCATGTCATTGACGACCACCTTGCAGATGTTATGACATCGTCCTTGTAATGGTCTGCTGAGTCCCTCCATCCATGGCACAGGAGATGTTGCCGAGGGCAGGATCGTTCCTCTTCTGCATGAGCCTGCGATGCGGTCTGCAGCTCATCGCAGTCTGCGACTTCTTTGCCTCATTGTTTCGGTTATTGTCGGGGCTGATCATCGTCGCATCGCCTGACCTCTTCTTCGATGCCGAGACTTCCTTCATCGACATGTCGATAGGCATGAGTGCGAAGCGGATCTTCCTTCGGAGCGTAAGGTTGCAGTTGCTGCTGTCGTTGCCTGCGATCTACTTCTCGTGGTATGCCCTGAGCGCCAACAGGTCGTCATGACGCTGCCTCAGCGCCTGCTGAGATGCGGAGGATGGTGGTGCTGACTGTGTTGCGGCAGGAGCGGGAACTTGGTGCATCTGAGACAGTACTGCAACTGGAAAGTGCTCAAGTGCGGCGTGACTCTAATGATGCACTCGCTGCTGCACAGAATCTGGTGGGACGGGTGCGGGTACCTGCCCCTGAGCTCCTGCTGGGAAGTTAGGAACGACATCTTGTTCACTGCCTTCTTGAATCTTGTCCCCTCTCTCTACTGCATCTGGATTGTCTGGTCTTCATACTATCTTATCCTCGACGGCGACCTGCAAGGTACGGTCCTCCATGCCAGAAAGATCATCTGTTCTCCTTGCTCTGACCTCGTCTCTGCAGCCCTCTGGCTTGCGGGATTCAATTTCGGTGATCCCAGGCAGTTTGACAAGTCCCAGTATCAGGTAGGAGGAGGAGGGGAGGACAGATGTTTAGGAATGCTTTGGTTTTCTGAAGCTATCGGCAGGAAATTTCCAAGGGAGGCGAACTGGCAGAGGGAGGGGAAGAGCCGCCAAAGGTAGCTGAGAGGAGGGTGCTAAGATGTTTGACATGGCTGGCAGCTCAACGTGACATACTTTGTGTGAGGAGCGCGAAAGTTTCATGACACGAAGGGTTGTTGAAAGCCATGGACGATGTATGTCTTTTCACTTTGCATGTTTGTACCATACGATGAGATAGAAGATTCGATACCGAGATCTCCAGATGATAATAAATCAACAGTCCATGAGGAGAGCTCATGTCCCAGGCAACGGCAGGTCTGCGCAGACTTTCGAACATGTTAAATTACACAACCCCTCGTTTATTATTGTGACCGTCTTGTGAACTGTTTGGAGAGAACAAAGCAATCTGGAAAAGAAGTCGTCAGACAGGCTGGTGAAAACAAACATGTATCCACCTGGAGGATCGATCCTCTTGTAATAATTCAAAATTTTATCCTTCACTTCGAACCCGAAGCGCTTGTAGAAGTTGATGGCATCTGTGTTGGAGGTCTGGACATGAAGGTATGCTTCGTCGATGTCTGCATCCTCTGCCGCTAGATTCAAGCACATTTCCAGGAGCGACGTGCCTGCCTCAAGTCACCTCTCGTGTATCCCTGGGGATCAATGCAGCTTACCAACGCCGCAGCAGCGGTAAGGGGCAAGGACGCCGATGGTCATGATGTAAAGTCGACTGGCGTCCTCCTTCTTCTCCACCCTGCAGCAGATCGCACCAACAAGAATATCTGTCGAGTAGTATGCTAGCAGAACACACGCATCATCCACAAAGCAAGAAACAAGAGCGCCCATACCGAGTTGAGTGTAGTTTCCAGAGTTTTGCACATCGTTGTAGAATTTGTCGTTGTACTTCACGGGAAAGATGGATCGGTTAAGGGTCTTCACTTGCTCAACATTCTTGTCTGTGATGGGACCGAAGCAGACTGGGAGTTTCTTCTTGTATCTCTGCGGCAATCAGTCATGTCCTTGCTACCGGGCTCGCCATCTTTTCACCTGCTCTACCGGCTGCATCGGGTTTATGATTGCATCCTGTAGCCAGCCACGTAAGAGTGTGAGATGGAGAATTGAAGATTTCCACTATCACTAATGTAGGCAAGAATGGAATGCAGCTTGCAGGTGCATGGAGCATAGCGGTATGCATCGTCGCACATGGATTTTCAACTGAGGCTCTAATATATCTTCTCTGACGACCTTCCTTTTGAGCATAAACCAGCTTAAGTTGTGCTAGACTTTGCTTCCATTCTCCATCCTTGAACATTGCAATAGAAACATCAATACAATCGCAATAGAAACATCGTTTCTATTGCGATTCAGATCGCAGTGAGGATAACGACCCACATGATTGATATCAACCCTGCATGCATATTCTCTGTTGCTCTCCTTACCATCGTTGCTCACAGTTTCACTGGACCTCTTCCCGCCTCCTCCCTTTTCTCGCTCCATGTCACTTCAGTCCTCCTCGTTCTCTTCCCGCGCCCTCGTCTTCTGTTCCTCTCTCCTGGTCCATTCTTGGCCGTCCTACTCTCTCCTCTACACGATGCTGGCTCAATTTTTTTCCCCACCACCATACAAGTCTATCTTCTCTCATGCCTACTTCTCTCATGCCTACTTCTCACTCCTTGAATCTTTGTTCTGCCCTCACTGCCCTCAGATCATCCACCTGTTCTCCTTCTCGCCCCTCCGATCCCATCCCCTGAAATACCTCTCCTCTTCTCCACCATGCTCTTCTCCCATACCTCTCCTCTCCTCCACTATCCTCCCCTCCGTTCCCCTCTCCCTCTCCCCTCCTCTCCTCCCATACCTCTCCTCTCCTCCACCATTACCCCCTTTTTTCTCCTCCCCTCTCCTGCATTCTTACATAATCTTCCGCCAGCTCGTCGAACTGCATCGCCGAAGGCCCCACGCGCCTAAACCGTTACAGAACCGTTTTTGTGTCTCAGTGCACCAGGCCCCGGGTCTTCAAGGCCCGGTACGGGTCACGTGATCTCGATTGTATCACGTGAGAGGTCACATGACCCCTTTCGTGGTGAAGGCAGCATAGAGTTGGAAGGGAATGTGGAGCATAGGAGAGAAGGAGAGAAGGAGAGAAGGAGAGAAGGAGAGAAGGAGAGAAGGAGAGAAGGAGAGAAGGAGAGAAGGAGAGGAGGAGAGGAGGAGAGGAGGAGAGGAGGAGAGGAGGAGAGGAGGAGAAATCGAAGCAATAGGAGGGGAGGAGGAGGACAGGAGAGCTGATCACAAGGCAAAAGGACAACAATCAGGGAGTCGCAGGAACCGCCGAGACCTCCAGGGGCTAACACAGAGCAAGTAGCTGGGATGAAGTTGAAGAATGCAATGCTGAAGATGGCTACTTGACTTGATGAATTCCCAAGAGGCTGGAAAGTGAGAGTCAGCCCTAACTTGACGACGAGGACAAGAATCAGATGCGTGTGTTCTCAGACTAGAAAGAAATGCTGCGCCTGCTCTTACATATCTGGTTGATAGCGCTGATTGGGTTCGCCTATGGCGATGTCTCGCCTGTCATTCAGAGCGAGCATGCGAGGCCCTGTGCCCATCACAACAGCTCAAAAGGTTGCAAGCAGGGGAACGGACTGAGTGCGAACCCTCAGCCTCGGATCTTCGAGGGGATCTCAGATTTCTTCGAGGGTTTGTTCGGAGGGTCGGATGAGAGGTGCATCCTCCCTGACGTGGAGGAGCAGCTGCGTTATCAGGTGGCTGACTGCTCCACTGAAAGGCTCCCCTCCCTCCGCCTGCAGTTCGGGCCCGCAGACTGCGAGCTTTCTAGCCCAATCCCATCAGCTCCCTCCTGCAGCAAACAATGTGGGGCAGGGGAGTACCTCTCCTGGAGCAGAGGAGGTGGCAACTTTGCGTGCAAGCAGTGCCCAGCGGGCAAGTTCAGCGTGGGAGGAGGGGAGAGATACCAGCGATGGCCGCAAAGTCTGCCTCCTCAGTTTGAAACCACGTGCTACTCGTTGGATCCGGATCACTTTGCCGACGCGCAGCAGGTCTGGTTGGAGAAGGTCAACTGCGACCCGTGGCAGGTGGGGAGAAACGGGAGCATGCTATCCTCAGGGGACAACCGGAGGTACAACTACGTAGAGAGCTACCTCATCCTCCACCTCAAGTTCGTAAGGAAGGGCAGCCTCTGGTTCCGTTTCATGGTGGATGCTGAAGACCACGCCGACGGCCTCCTCTTCAGGATCGACCATGTGAACCAGCCGCTTGATCCCTCGGGCTCCGTCTTCGTCTCTCAGATCCTCGAGCCCCAGAGAGCAGAGTTCGCAGTCGAGCCTGGCTGGCACGTGTTCAAGTGGGTCTACTACAAGGACATGTCGGTCACCTACGGCAAAGATCGTGTGGAGCTGTGGGAGGTCGGATTCAACGGTACCGAGTGGGCAGACACATCTTGCTCAAGCTGCCCTGAAGGTTTCTCTAGCGTTGCAGGATCCTCCCGTTGCTCGAGCTGCGAGGAGGGGACGGTCTTCGACCAGACGTCCCAGCGCTGCCTTTCCTGCAACCTCACCACCCACTACGCTCTCCCGGGCTTCTCCAAGTGCGAGCTCCGCCCTCCCTGCAGGCCCGACGACTACGTCGAGCGCTACACGCAGTGTAACAGCGAGACCAACACGAGGGACAAGTGGTATGTATGGACAGAGCCCAAAATCTGCCGGGGTCAGCTGCTGCCCCCCAACGTGACTGGACTGCCCTGCCCCCCTTGCTCAGTCGGCAAGGTTCTGGTCCAAGGGAAGTGCTCCTTCTGCTCTCCCGGCTACTTCGCAGACCCGGCATCGTCTCAGTGTCTGCCATGCGGACCCGGGAGCGAGGCTCCCTTGTTCCAAGTGATGACGGACTTCTCGACATGGCCGGAGCAGATGACGACTGGATGCAGAGGTGAGTGCGGGACGGCAGGCTGGCGGTCTCAGGGGAGTTTCTTGGAGGCCGGGAGGGATCACTACGACGCGACGGTCTGGTTGCGACTTGACGTTGTCCTCGTCGAGGTCGGATCGCTTCAGTTTGGTTTCTCGCTGGCGTGTAGAGGCAACGACGTGAGTTTCGTAGTCGAGGTGGACGGGAAGAACCTTGTGGACCTCTGCGCGGGCGGGGGCGCTGCTGCCTCGTCCTGGTCAGTGAGCCTCTCAACTGGAAGTCACGCGATCCGCTGGCTGTACATCCAACGCTCATCCTTGGCAGGCACTGACCTGCACACTGCGAGGATCCTCAACATCTCCCTCTCTGGTGTGGCGCAAGGAGGAGCTCTGCACTGCCTGCCTTGTCCTGCAGGATTCTTCAGCACTGGACTTCAGACAAACTGCCTGGCGTGCCCCGAGGGATTCTCGAGCCCCCCCGGTGCCACTGGCTGCTCCTTGTGCGAGGAGGGAAAGTTCGCCCCTTATCCTGGATCCTCGACTTGCTTCCAGTGCGGAGCCAACGCCGTGAGCGGGGCCGGGTCGGCGGAGTGCTCGGCGGACTGTAGAGTCTCCTGGTCGGAGGAGGAAGCGGTGTACGACTTCGCGCCGCTGCGCACGAGGCTGGACGGGGTCACGCCGATGACGTACGAGGACAGGGATGGAGAGAAGCAGCTTGTCTTCCTGTCGCTCTGTGCTCCTCTTCCTCTTAACAGCTCGTGCGTGCAGGGAATGGAAGCGCTGGATCATCCCAGACACAGCTACTCCTGCTCGGTGAATCCGGAGGATACGGAGGACGACTCCGCCTCCCAGCTCGAGAGGAGCGGGGGAGCGAAAGACCTCGGGTCTACCCTGTCGTTCCTTCCCCTTCCTAAGTTTCTCCGTGCCCGAGGCTTCTCCAAAGGGCTGACCATCGGCCTCTTCAACGGGGACGAGTGCGAGGGGGGAGGTGGAGGAGGAGCCAGCAAGACGTGGAGCACGGAACTGCATGTGACTTCTTTGCTCTATCTCTCCTTCCTCCTGTTCTTACGTGACGCTCCGCTCAGATTGTCTGCAACGCAAGCAAGGGGGTCGGGGTTCCCACCTTCCTCTACGAGCTTTCCTCCGCAGAGCCCTGCACCATGCACGTCCTGTGCGCGTTCCCCATCAGCGTGTCCTCCTGTCCTTGACTCCTACGGCAGGTGGGAGTCGCAACATGGCTGCCCGCTCTGCACGGACGGAGACTACAAGGCCATGGGAGGAGCATGCGTCAATGGCTTACAGGACATCTCCTACTTCCGCAAGACGGAATGCTTTGCCGGCGTTCCGATGCCTCCTCCTGAGTATGGATCCTCTTGCATCAAGCAGGTGAGGATTGTGGCCGAATCCTGTCTTTCCGTCTTCCCTCCTCCCGGTCCTCACACTACTCCTTGTCGTCTCCTGTCCCGTTTGCTGCTTCTTCCCTCCTTTCCCTCTTTCCTCTCTCTCCTTCTCTCTCCTCCTCTCCCTCCTCCTCTCTCTCTTCCTCTCCCTCGTCTCTCCTCCTCTCCCTCCTCCTTACTTCATCTCAGGTTGCAAAGGTTCTGCCCTCATGGGTCCTCCTTCTCATCGTCGTTGCCGTCGTTGCTGTCGTGGGGATCATTGTGTACATAGCTTGCCTCTACTACAGGTGAGACGCCTTCTTCCTTCCTTCGCTGCTGCTTGACCGGAGTAACGTCAGATACCGCAACATGTACGAGAAATATCAGAAGCTGGTTCTCAGCGATCGGGATGTGGAACACAGAGGTATGGAAAGAGAAAGAAGGAGTTCTGTTCGTGTTGCTCACTGCGATCTAGATTTCGACTCTGAGATCATAGCGGAAGAAGGATAGGTCAGGTCATCCTGAGACATCTCGCAGAAAGATATGTTGATGGTGATGTAAAGTAGGGATGAGAGGAGGAGATCTCACACAAACACACCCACACCATGCAGAGCAAGGCTGCCTTTTGGTACTATTTCATTTCGAGCAAACTTAAATCTATGCAGTAAGTATGCAAGCTCCGCCAGCCTTCTTGATCTTAGTCTCCGCCATCTTGCTAAAAAACTTGGCCTTGACAGCAATGGGCTGCGAGGGGAGCTCTCCCTTTCCGAGAACCTTGAAATAACCGAACTGGGTAACGTCAATCAGAGGCATCGACCCAGAAGTGTTGGTAGCCAGCTTCATCCTCTGGTCAGATCCCACGAGCGACCAGATCTGGTTGATGTTGACCGAAGGTCTGTGGTAGGGGTTCTTCTTGTAGTGGAAGTACCTCATACCGACCTTACCGAAGTAGCCAGGATGGTACTTGTCGAAGGCGATCCTGTGCATGTGCTGACCACCAGCGTTACCGCGACCGCTGGGATGCTTGCGGTGCTTGCCGATACGGCCGTTACCGCAGTGCATCCCTCCGCGCTCTTTCCTGTGCTTCTTCAGTCTTGCTGGCTGTTGACAACCCGTCAGTAGGTGACAAAACGATTTTCACACCAGCCCCGCCCTGCCCATCGCATACCAACAAACTCTTATAGATACACATGGAGATGCATAAAGGAGAAGGACATACTGACATCTGATGGATAGAGAAAAGGAAAACAAGGGACGGTAACCATTTGGAAGAGGCTCGTGCAGCGTGAAAGCGGTACAACATAATGGATATCATAATAAATGTATCATTTCACCGATCCAATGCAATATACCCGCTGATGACAACACATATTCCATGGTCGCTCGTAAACAACACATTGATCACTTCAGAAGAAGAGGCAATACAACCGAGCTGCCCTTTGAGGCAACACACGAGATCGAGGAGGGAGGGAAACATGGACAGAAAAGAAGTGGAGATCTGACAAACACAGCAAGGAAGAGGCTTCGATCAACACTATCCACCTTGATATCATCTCTCCTCCTCCTCCTCCTCCTCCCTCTCCCCTCCCTCCATCGCCAGAGCCATCGTCTTCCCCCGCACGCGCACTCACCATCTCTCTCGGCTCTGCTCGCGCGTGTCGCTCTTTTTTTTTATACCGTTACCTCCGTTGCATCCTTGACCGTTACGTCACCGTTTCAACATTCCCCATGTCAAACCACCCCTACCCCCTGACTGACTAACAAGTCCGTTGGCTCGGGGTACGGTACTTCGGAGCTCCAGGTTCCGGCCCGGCGGCCGGATGGCAGCGACCCGGAGTTCAAGATTCAAGATAACGGTTAATAACGGAAGAAATCTTACCGTTTGAGCTTGAATTCAAGAGCTGAAGAGAAGAGGGGCTTGTAGAGGAGCGACAGGGAGAGAGAGAGCGAGCGAGCGAGAGAGAGCGAGGAGGTAGAGGAGAGAAGAGCAGGTAGGATAGATCTAGGGAGAGAGGAGAAGAATTGAGAGCAGAGACCAGCAGCGAGGGCTCGCATTCTCATCGTGAAAGAGTAGCTCCACAGCATCCACCGAAGGGACTAGGGACAGCTGCCAGATACTGTTGGGACAGAGACAAGACAAGCCCGTCGAATCTTTGGAATCCTCTACAACCAATCAGAAGCATTTCTTTTGATAACAAGTTACGATGGACACCGAACACAACAGAAGAGAGAGTAGCTATGGAGAGGTCGTCGATGCTCGCAGGTGACCACGTGCCATTGATTTGTAACTACCCTCGAGGTGACATCTTGCTGAAGAGTGATAGCAAAGCTCCATTCGCTCGCCATGGACCCAAGGAATCGATCTGTCATTGCTAGAGACACGGGATGCTTGCAGAACATCATTCGTATGCTCGACTTCCCAGCAGACGACGTCAGATTTGGCTGCCATGAAAGTTGATTTCTCACCTTCTGAGCAGGTTGTGTACAAGGCCCTGGAGACCATCTCCTACCTCTCTAGCCACTCTGTAGAGAACAGAGAGATCCTTAGCTTGCAGGCTAGCCTCCTGAGCAAGCTGCACGACTTGTCGGAGATGCACCCTACCGAAGAAGTCAACAGCCTTGCTGAGCACCTGTCGAAGCAGCTGAGCTCGAAGAAGGATGCTGAGGTAAGCCGTCAGGAGGAGACCTCGTCCGTTCATCTCCACTGACCCTTTTCCTTTCCCTCCTGCTCTACCTCCCCTTCCCTTCCTCTTCCCTCCCTCCTCGCCAGCTGTCAGAGAACCCTGTTGCCAAGAACACCAGCATCTACGTGAAGCCCTCCCAAGAGTTCATGAGCCCTGCAACGAAGAGCATTGTACAGTCTTGACCGCCGCCATCCCTCTCCTGACGTGCTTCTTGCAGCTGTCCAGGAACCCCAAGACGCTCATGTTCAGGGTTGAAGGATTGACCGGGCAAGAAGACACTGAGCGGTTGGAGCGAGCGATCATCAGGACAAAGGGTGTCATCAGCGTGAGCCTCGACAACCTCGAGCTCGGCGATAGGTGGGCTCCTCATCATCGTCATCATCTTTCCTCCTCCTCCTCCTCCTCCTCCTCCTCCTGACTAGCGCCACCAGCTCCATCATGAGGATCCTCTCTCAGCGCCAGCTCACCGTGCGAGCTGTGGTCAGAGCGAAATGTCCTCCCGAAGACATCGTCGCGGCATGCGAGCAGCAGGGTGAGGAGGAGGAGGAGGGAGAGGTAGCAGCTGACTTTGCTGCAGAGTTCAACGCCTCCATCTTTGACCCACAGCGGGAGGTGAAGAGCAAGCAGAAAGAAGTCTCCTCTCCTCCTGTGAGCCTGCACTGCTGCTGGGGTGAAAAGACTGACTGGGGTGTCCACAGAGCAAGGGAGAGACGGCGAGCGGGTACGAGACTCCTCTCAGCGAGCGATCCACCCAGCATGGCTCGCAAGAGTCTGATAGCCCCAGGTCTGTGTTGCTTCCTTTCCCTTCTACTTGCTCGTTCTGGTCCCTTTCCTCTCCCTCTTCCTCCCCTGACTTCCTCTCCCTCTCAGATATCTCACTCCGCCCGACCTCAACGCTTGCGGCGACCGCGTCTTGATTAGCATGGAGGACAAGACCCTTGGCGAGAAGAAGAAAGAGCCCAAGGACGGCCTCTCTTGGATCCAGAAGGTACCCCTCCTACTCCTACTCCCACTCCTCGTTCCCCTCCGCCTCTTTCTCCTACTCCTCATTCTCCTTCTCCTGCTCTCGTATCTTGTCCTCACTGTCTCACAGGTCGGAAGAGTTTTGTGGTGGTGAGCATGTACAGTATTCTTTTTAACTCTCATCTCTCCTCCTCCTCCCCCGCTGCCACTAGTCCAGCAGCGTTGTCACTGCCTGGTAAAGACTGCAACTTGTTCCGAACTGTTTTCCCTCCTCTCCTCTCCCAAAGTCTTCACTCGGTCGTCTTAACTGAGGAGGAGGCTTGAGGGTCTGCCGCTGCTGCTGGACTCGTCGGCTCCCCCGGAGGCTCCAGACGTCCAGCTAGAGGGACAGCACGGAAGACGTCAAGGATGGAGACTTGAATCTTCACTGCCATGCCCTTGAGCCTGCGCAGCATCAGTCAACTTTCTCTGTGCATCCTCCCTCCTCAATGCTCCCCTTCCCTCCCACTTCTCTGCCTTCAATCCATCCATCCCTCGCTCATTCTCCGCTCTTGGTAGCTCCTCCCACTCTTCTCCCTGTTCCCCTCCTGCTCTCGACTCTTCTTTCCTCCTCCTCCCACTCTCTCCGCTCACCCTCCGATGGCTTTTCGGGGAGCTGGCGGGCGTCGCTCTTGCCGTGCATGGATGACGCCATGGGCAACGACGAGGACAAGCATGTTCCTCACACTGGGGGAGAATCAGCGAGGAGGAAGAGAGCCAGGGTAGAGTGGAGGGCGAAGGAGGAGCACAGAGAGAGAGGGGGTTAGAGAGAGAGGGAGATGAGGAGGAGGAGCTGCAAGAGGAGGGAAGTGGAAAAGAGAAGGGAGGAGGGAAGGGAAGTGGAAAGGAGAAGGGAGGAGGCAGCGAAGTGGGAGAGGAGGATGAGGAGGATGGGTCAGAGGGAGACAGACATGGAGGAGCAGAAGCAGAGGCCCCAGAGGAGGGAGAGCGAAGCGGCTCCCGCAGCAAGAGAAGTCTTCTCCTTGAGGAGGCTGCTGGCTGTCAGCTGGAGTTGTTGCTGGACCTCAAACTCACCGAGTGGTGCGGGACCTGCGGCCAAGGAGAGTGATGGTTGAGATCATGGACCTGGCGCTCTTGTCCGCCGCCTGCTGACTCTCAGCGAGATGAAGGAACGGGGGAGGAGAGAGGAAAGAGGAAGAAGAGAGGGAGGAGGGGAGGAGGAGGAACAGAGGAAGGAGGAGAAATGAGGACTGGTCCAGACAAAGCAGAAGGGAAGAGGATGAAGAGGAAGGGAAGAGAAATTGCCTTGATGGAAGTGTAGGAAAGAACTTCTGAGCGGACGAACGCGGCAGACAAGGAGGAGAGGAGGAGGAGGATGAAGGAGGCGAAGGAGCGGAAGAATATCATCTCAAGCAGACAGAAGCACACTAGCCACCTGTGAGCACGGCGATGAGCACGGAAGAGGAGGAGAAGCAGAGCAGAGCAGAACAGCAGGGCAGAGCAGAGCAGAGCAGAGCAGGAGAAGAGAGAAGAGGAGAGAACGGAGGTGGGAGGAGCGGCTGAGCTGAAGGAGGGGAGGAGGATAGAGACGAGGGAGTGGACCCGACCCGAAGTATTGAAGGCGGTAGTAGATGGCATTGAGGAGGATTCTCTGCGCTAGCTCTGGGATCTTAACCTCCTTTGCCCACATGTCCACCTTCTCCCAGATCGGCTGCCCCCACAGCAGCAGCGCATGCCACCTCTGCTGAACCTGAAGGTACTTCCTCATGGCGAACTCGTTCCTAAGGAAACTCGTCAGATCTCCTCCTCCTCCTCCTCCTCCTCCGCTCTCTTTCTTCTTCCTTGTCTTCTTCCTTCCTCCCCTCCTCTGCTCTTCTCTCTCTCATCCACTCCCTTGTCTCCTCTCGTGATACCACTTCTTCTCCTCCTTCCCCCCTCCTTCGGCTGTCCTGCTCCGCTTCCACTCCCACTTCTGCTCCTCTTCCTCCCCTCACCCGCGGACCCAGTCCTCCGCACTCTGCAGCCATGGCAGCGCAACCGTCGTTTGCGTGAGCGCCTTGCTCACAGCCAACTCCGTCGCATCCACAGCCGTCATGAGCGACTGGTCGAGGCTGCCGATGCTCAACTGCAGAGACGACAGGGCGCGCGAAGTTCCTTCCGTGACGCCCGACAGCATCTGCTGCCACGAGCTCTTGTTCTCCTCCTCCTTCCCGCCCCCTCCCAACCAGCTCGTCAGGTTCCCCTGCCAGTGTCCCACCCCCAAGTCGTTGGCGATGTTCCCTGCTGTCGCGAGCCAGGAGGAGGCGACGCCCAGCACCTCCCCGCTCACGTTCCCCACGTCAGGAGGGGAGAAGTTGAGGGTCATGCTTACCCCAGCTGACACCGAGCTGGTCACAGCTGCCGACATGTTCTTGAGCAGGCGCATCGTCATGCTTCTCTTGCTCGGCCTCTCCAGCTGCCCGGGGTCCTCAGCTCGAGTCAGGTTGTCATCGCCAGCTTCAGTCCAGCTGGACGTCACGTTGAATGCCTCCTTGAGCGGCTCAAACCCCAGCCTCCTCGTCATCCTGGCTTCCGATGCCCTTCTCGCGTCCTCCAGCTTCGACGCGAAGTCCACCTGCCCGCTGGCCTTCGAGCCACTCCCTCCTCTTCCCTGCCCTGCTCCCTCCCCCTCGCTTACTCGTCCTTGACCTGCTCCCCCTCGTTCCTCCTCGACGAGATCTCTGACCTCAAGAATCTTGCTCCGGAGCTGCCTGAAGTAGTCTTGGCCTCTGGTCTTGGCGGAGGAGGCGTACTGGATGAACTTCGACTGGATCTCAGGGGAGAAGAGAGAAAGTCTGAGAGCACAGAAGTCAATCATAATCCTGTCCTCAACCGCCTCCTTCCGTCTCCCCCAGCCCCTCCCCCTTAGCTTCTCCCTTCCCTCCCTCCTCCCCATCGTCTCTGTCCCTTTTATGCCCCCCCACCACCTTTCCCCCTTCCTCCTTCCCCCTCCTCTTGCACTTTCCCCTCTCAACTCACAGGAACAAGACGGTAGTTTGCGCCATCCTCCTCCCCTCCTCGTAGACTCCCTGCAGCTGCTTCGACAGAGAGCCGGACATCAGCTCGTGCCGCAGCCACATCACGCTCTCCACCAGCTCAGGGATCCACCACTCCCTCCTGTTCCCGTAGTCCATCCCCCACAGCAGGATCCAGAGGCAAGTCCTGACCCCAACGACCCCGAGCTGGAGGAGGAGGAGGCAGGAGACGAAGACGAAGCTCGAGATCATCATCGAGGTGCGGAGCAGCAAGCCCAGCAGAGCCCCAGGTCCTCTCCTCCATTGGCTGCGGAAGCTTTCCGAGGAGCCTTCCAGCTGGGCTAGCGGCTTCTCCTGCAGGAGCTCCATCATGGAGCCCATGTACCTGTTCAGCTGAGCCTCGTGCTTGACCTGCATCGCAAGCACTTCGCGTCTCCTCGAGAGCGGCCTCGAATCTCCTCCTATCAGCCAGTAGGCTTCCTTGAGCAACCTCGCCTCCTCCCAGGCCTGCGCTTGAAACCGGATGATCTCTTCCTTCCCCGTGAAGTTGTGCTGCAGAATCGCCAAGGGCCTGCTGCTCGCTCTCCCTGCTCCGGCTCCCGCTCCCTCCTTCCGATGCTCCCGCCTCTGGTCCAACATCCAGCTCCTTGTGCTGTTATTCTTCTTGTCTGTCTGCTCAAGTCGCTGCTCAACCATCCTCGACACGCTGCGGCGAGGGAGGAGGACGTCCTTGGTATAGTTGGTCCTCCTCATCTTCACAAACTTTCCCTCCTGATTCAGAGGCGAAGGAGCCTCCGGGCTGCACGAAACTCTCCCCCTCTCCTCCTCCTTCCTCTTCCACCTCCTGGGCCATCCAGCGATCGAACTCGACGGGGCCGGAGATCGCAGGTGATGTCCCACTGGCATGAGCGAGGGGAGCAGGAGAGATTGGACATGGTTGAGGGAGACGAGCAAGATCATCGCTTGCAAAGAGCTCCGAACTCCCTTGTACCAGCACCTTCCTGACAATGGGCCGACGGTTGCCATGTCAGTCCTTATTCTTGATCCGCTCGTTGCTTTCTCAAGTCTCTTGTGTTGCAATGTGATGTACACTTGTTCACATGGTTGCCAGGAGAGACATCAAATCACTGCTTCAATCATCAACCTCTCGGGAAACGTGCCTCACAGCTTTCCTTGAATTTTCCGTGAAGAGCTCCTTGTGTTTACTTCTCCATGTCAACCCTCCCATAGTCATGGCATTGCAGCAGCCGGGAAGTAAACCCGTGCTGGATGAGCACTTGTCGAATCTGTGTAGGGAGCCTTGTGTTGGGAACTGTTGTGTCAGGGCAGCAAACGTGTACAAGTGTCACGTTTGTCTTTCATGTGATCTACTTGCAGTGTCTTCAACTCTCTCCTCTCCTCTCCTCTCCTCTCCTC